AATGATGTTTACAGATTCATCTGAGCAACATGTGCTAATTGATAATCACATTTTAAGGATTTTAAGAGCCTATGTGCATGATTTGTGACATCACTAATAGTTTGGAAGTCAATCTCCAGGTCCAGTATGCAACTTATACACGTGATGTAGAAATATGAAGCCACCAGTGCACATACACTGTGAATGGACTATAGTGGAATAAGAGACCTCGTGTGTCTAGCAGGGAAACTTGAACAAAAGATACTTCTTATGGCTTTTAATGTGAAAATTTTACTTTTTTTGCTTAAAAAACATATTAGGCTATTTTTATTTACGTCTTAATACTGATTAGGCAGGCGACTAGTCAACTAGTCTGTTAAATGTCTGACTAGTAGACCAGAAATACTAGTACAATGCTGGTTAATTGTGTCTTTACACAGCCACCTGCTGCTGTCCAGAGATACGTCCCTGCACTACCGCCACCGCTGCTTTGTCCCACTTCCAAGTTATAGTCATAACATTATTATTATCATTACCGCGGCCTGCTTTGGCATTCTACCAGCCGATTTCACTCTCTGCCCATCTAACTTCACACAACAAATTGGCTTGAGTTGGCAGTATGCAGGGGAAAGAGAATGGTGGGACTGGTGTGAAATACCCAGAGTATGGTAAGTTATGATGCTCTGAGAAACTATCAATCGCATTACGAAACAGCCGTCAGCCTCGCTGTATATGCTGACTGACAGCCAGTGTTTAGTTAGCTAATGTAGCGTTCGCTTACCTGCTCCCTGAAAGCTGTAACATTATCCGCTGTAACATCACATCAGCGCAGATGCCGTCATCTACATTTTGTCGTTCACGTCACAGAGTTTATCCAGCCAGCACGATGAAGCAGTCATGAGTGATCTCTCTTTGTCTAATAACATGAACAGCATCTTCATTTGCTTTCTAATCATTCAAGCCATTGTCCATATGTTGCTCATTTTAATAACATCCCAACGCATTAACTGACATTTAAATGCCAATACTGGAACAAACTACCGGCGCATCAGATGCATGTAACAAATGATACCAACAGAGTAACTAGTGAAGCCTGGCTGTGTCTGTGTTGTGTCTTTAGAGTATTTCAATTTTTATTCATTTTGACTATTTGTGTCTTCTTACTTTTAGACAAGTCGACGAGTCTAAATTTAAATTTCCGTGTAATCGATGGTGAAATTAGTCACCAGGAACATCTCTACTAAATGCATATGTGGAGGAGATTTTTAACTATTTATTAATTCACTTTACTCGGTAAAAGTCACAAACTCAAAATTCTTCACGTGGTTATTGTAACAAAAAGCTGACGCGACAGAACAAGTTTAATCAAAACACGTAATGCGCACTATACACAACATTAACCTCACATGCATGTTACATGAATTAACTGGAGTAAAACCGTTTAGAGTACACAGTAAATATTGACCCCAGGTCCTCTAATTGATCATCCAATGCAGCTCACCCCTCATTACTGTAGGCAACCTCAAAGCAGTGGACATGAAATCAATCCTTGAGCTGGGATATTAGCATTGTCCAGTCATTCCAGTAACTGAAGCAGTCTGAACTGATGCACTTGTGATGACTCTGCAGTTTGAGATTATATTAGGGTCAGCACTTGAAGGTGTGACCAGTGGCTAAAATCACTGTGTTTGAAGTACTTACGGAGCATCTGACCTTTCCTGAAGAAACTTTAAATGTGCTCTCTTCAGTCAGTGCGGTGTTGCCACCAAGTGAGGCTTTTACCAATTGTTAAACATATCAGTGGGACTGGAGTACTCACTTAGGTAAGGCGTTAGGTGGGAAATCACTGAAGTAAAAAATGAAGTTTGCTCCAACCGACCAATGTTGAGTTGTTTCGGAGTAACACCCCTTTCCATACTATTTATCACAGCATTTAGCTCCTTTTGTAGTGTATCTTTGCTGTGTGATGTGGTTGGAATGGATGAAGAACAGATTTTGATCAAATGTGACTTGAGTCCATCATGTTTTAGATTTGGATTTATGTTGCACTTAATTGGTGCTAGGATTTTCTTCCCCTCTTTTCATAACGGACTTTTCTCACTGGTATCTTTTTAACTCTCATCAGCTGAAACAAATTCATACTGTGCCGGATCAGGGTGCTAATAACCCTCTCTTCCTGTCTTTGTCTCCCCCTCACCCCTTCTGTCCATCTAGGTGCCCATGTGCTGGTTCCCTAGGCCCATCCATTACTGCAGATGAATCTTCAGCTGCTTCGGCGTAGCTCAGCACCCAGATAGTCCCATCCCCTTTGCGTGGGTGATAAGGGACTACATTTTACAGGATGCCCTCCTCTGTAAGGGCAGGGAGCCTGAAGGATCCAGAGGTGGCTGAGCTTTTCTTCAAGGAAGACCCAGAGAAGCTTTTCTCTGACCTCCGAGAGATTGGCCATGGCAGTTTTGGCGCTGTCTACTTTGTACGGCAACTACATCCTCACACTGATTCACACAACAGAGAAATTCCCATGATCTTATCTGTGGATGGAAATAATAGATGTTAATCAGGGATGCAGTCAGTTAAATACAGAAAAAATGTCAGTTCTGCGTCATAAATACAGATTCTACACCGTTACATGGTAAATTTGTGATCCAAATTTGTCTCTATATTTGATTAGCTGCTGTTTTCCTTTCTGTGAATAATACAGTCACTCAAGGCTAATTAAAGATAACAACTGAATCAATTTGCTTGAATACATCAGTGGGTTTATAACGTGTCACAGTTATAAAAAGTGAAGCTATTTGATCCTCAATAAAGAACAGAAACGATTTGAACAAAGTTATTTTTACAAGCTCATGATGGGGTTTAATATCACCAAGGTACAGCGGAGTGCTGTGACTCACCCCAGCTGTCTGATCTGAGTTCTGTACATGTACACTGCACGTAGCGTGGTTAAAAAAAAGTACAAGAGGTCTTGAAAAACCACATCCTCGATGAAAGAGAATGTACAGAGAATCAGACAAACTGTATGTTATGCTCAAAATGTATACTGACAATGTATGTGACTGATGGTCTGTGTTTCCCAGGCACGGGATGTGCGCACCAATGAGGTGGTGGCAATTAAAAAGATGTCCTACAATGGCAAACAGTCTAATGAGGTGAGACAAGATTGATTTATATTTACATAAAAGTTCAGACTTCGATCATAAACATTTTTTACACCGCACATTCACCATTAACTCTTTATGATGGCACTCATGGTGACAATATAAAACATGGCTTACTTAACAGTAGTTTGGCCTGGTTTCATCAATAAGGAGAATAAAGAAGCAGGCCTTGAGCTAAGCAGTTTACAGAACCGACAAGTGTTTACTCAGCAGCAGTTCAGCCAACTGTGGTTAAAAATGAAGCCATTGTTTGTGTTTGAAATGCTCACATTTATGGCCTTTTTAAAATAAAATATTAATATATTACTTAGAATGTGGCACATAAACCCAAATATAACAGTATAAGCTTCATATATACATTATATCATCATACAACAAATGTTCATGAATGCTGATATCATCAATCAATATTAAATTTTCCAGAGAAAGAACTGCTGGACTACAGTATTAATGTATGGTGTCATTGCATTTCTGATTTAAAAGCACCAAACAGTCTGTCGTACAGTCTCAATAAGGTCACCCCTGTGTGCTCATTTTCACTGTTGTCGTCCCAGATACAGTCACACTCTGCTCATGATTTCAGATTAGCTATAATCAGATTACACATAATCTGGGAAGAGAACCACCTTACCCCTATTTGCAGTGAAAGACAATCTTCTGCACACACATACAGTCACCTCTAGAGCAGAAAGCCAAGCATTGCCGGATCTATTTTTAAGTTCCTTCTTTACCCAACAGAAATGGCAGGACATCATAAAGGAGGTGAAGTTTCTGCAGCGGATCCAACACCCCAACAGTATAGAGTACAAAGGCTGTTACCTCCGTGAGCACACAGCATGGGTGAGTAACTCGAATACACGCGCAGAACGGCAAGATCTCTTACATGTTGCTCATATGTGGATATATGTGTCTATACATTGTTAATCTTGACTTTATTTATTGTCTCTAGCTGGTGATGGAGTACTGTCTTGGCTCAGCCTCTGATCTGCTTGAAGGTGAGTAGGTGTTTCACTTCTTTTGAGTCAGTAATATGTAGAATTTGAGCTCACAGAAAACAAACGGATGGACAATAATGTGTCTTTTTTCCTCCTTCAGTTCATAAAAAACCTTTACAAGAAGTGGAGATTGCTGCCATTACACATGGTGCTCTGCAGGGGCTGGCCTACCTTCATTCCCACAATATGATCCACAGGTGAGCGACGCTTCTCGTAAACACTACTGTGTATCCCCCACATACGCCCCTGCTCTGACTCGCATATATGTTTTTCTCTTTCTCAGGGATGTGAAGGCAGGTAACATTCTGCTGACTGAGCCTGGGCAGGTCAAACTGGCAGACTTCGGCTCTGCCTCCATTGCCTCACCTGCCAACTCCTTTGTGGGAACGCCATATTGGTATGTGAAAACCGAAAGAATTGAAAGTATTATTAGTCTATGTGTTGAATAACAAAATTTGACTTTTGACTATGAACGGTTGCTAGTTGAGTGTCTGCCTAAAGAAGCAGTAAAGTAAAAAACTGCCTGCTCATATATTCAAATTCAGGATGATTGACTATTTTGGTGTTATTTATGCTTCTGAGAAACTACTTAGATGAGTCACGATGAACACAATAATTTAATTCCCAAATATAAAGTGGCAGTGCCTTTTAGTCCTGACACACACACATTTAGAGATGTGCAACTGAGTATCGATGAAAGTTATCTCTTCTTAATAAAATACTTTTAACCTGCTTTTTATTTGTTTTTCTCACCCCCACTTTGTTTTTCCTCTACTTCATCCAGGATGGCCCCGGAGGTGATTTTAGCTATGGACGAGGGCCAGTATGATGGGAAGGTGGATATTTGGTCCTTAGGTATCACCTGTATAGAATTAGGTAGGTGACAGTATGTGTGTATTGTGTCTATTAAAACTGTAACTGCAGTAGAGTATGCTTAAGTACATAATCTGTGATCCAAATGTTACCAAATCATGACCCTGCCATTCATTCTGAACACAGGATTCGCAATCACTGATTTACAAGTCTGTGAGGACTAACACCAGAAACTGCATCTACTGAAAAAATGTTGACAAAGCTTTGTTTGATAGATTTAGTTTAATTTAAGGTTTGGTTAAACATCATTGGTTCATAAATCATGTTTATGAACTCAGCAGTAAAATAGGCCTATATTTTCATTTATGATCAGTCAAGATAAATGTTCATCTCAACCTTTAACTCTTAGTTAAAGTTAGTTAGTTTATATGTGAATAAACCTGTAATTTAATAAGAAGGAATGAATGTTGATTGTTGTCATTTCTGCTCCAGCGGAGAGGAAGCCTCCCTTGTTTAACATGAATGCAATGAGTGCCTTATACCACATAGCGCAGAATGAGAGTCCCACACTGCAATCCAGTGAATGGTGAGGTGTCACACAGCACACCACACTCCCCACCACAACTCGACACACACACACGTCATCACACAACACACACACCACACACACACACACAAACACAACACACACACACACACACTTACTTTCATGAAGCACAATAACTCCTTTCTCTATATTTCATGATGTTGCACTGTCTAGTCGATGTTAAGTGTATTTATTGTTCCGATGTAATGGTGATAAAGATTTGTTTCTGCGATTAGCATGTTCAGAAAATGTGTTTGTTGAACGGACATTACTGTAATTGTTTTGTATGTTTTGCACCTCAAATGATGATGCTAGCTGTAAAGGTGTGTGTTTTGTTCTGAGCCTCTATCTTGTCATCTCTTTTCCAGGACGGATTACTTTAGAAACTTTATCGATTCATGCCTTCAGAAACTCCCCCAGGACAGACCACACTCTGATGACATGCTGGGTGTAAGTGCACGCACATACTGCACATTACAAACAAAAACAGAGCAGGGTCAGTGTGTTAAGATGGGAGATTGACAAAGCCCTCTGGTGATAAATCTCTCTGATGTTTTTGCTCTGTTCTGTCCCCCATAAGCTTCTATTTTGATTCACTAATCCTCTACTTCCTGATTCACATACACACAATCAGAAAATGTACAGACAGACACACACACACACACACACACACACACACATGCACAGCTCGGTTTTTGTACAAAGAACACAGATGTAATTACTGTAGAGATGTGACTTCTGCATCCATCGTTAAGTAACTGAGCAGCTGTCACTTAACCCACTAATGGACTCACTATTGCTAATGGAAGTTGTCCTCGGGGCATGGAAGCACTGCACACGGTGTCTTTCTTTTTTAAAAGGCAAGTTCCAAAGCAGTACATTTTCTTAAACAAGTATTACAATCTTCTTTTTAACTGCTTCTCTATGTGATCTTCTTCAAATCAACTTCTTGCAAAGTGCACAAAGAATGTTTGAATTTGTCAGCCTGGGTTTTGTTCTGTCGATTTTAAAGATGAAAATTTCAGCAACACTTTGAGAGTCCAGAACAGTTTTATTGTGTTCTTCTCAGTCATTCACCTCCGTCCTCTCTTCTCTTTCTGTGACTTCTCTATTCACGATGTTCTGTCTTTTCCTTCCCGTCACCCCTCTCCCCCTCTCCAGCATGCGTTTCTGCAGCGTGAACGTCCAGACTCCGTGCTGATGGATCTTATTCAGAGGACCAAGGATGCAGTGCGAGAGCTGGACAATCTGCAGTACCGCAAGATGAAGAAGATCCTGCTGCAGGAGGCCCACAACGGGCCCACAGCAGAGGTCCAGGATGGGGACGAGGTATGTGGATGTTTGTATGTTAAAATCAAACTAAAGCTAAAATATAATTTTTTGTTTTGGTCTTTTTTTATCTTCGAAACACATTTGCCACTTTCATGGCATTCGGCATCAGAAAATAACTGAGCATGCATCGGTTTGTATGCATGTCTGTCTGTGTCTCTTGTTTCTTTCTCTTGTTCCCTCTCTGGCTCTTTCTCTCTCCCTTGCTGTTTCTCTCTTCGCTCTTTCCACTTTGTCTCCAGGAGCTAGAGCCGGGAGGCGGTCGGACCGGAACGGTGAACAGTGTCGGCAGTAATCAGTCCATACCCAGCATGTCCATCAGCGCCAGCTCCCAGAGCAGCTCTGTCAACAGTCTGAACGAAGCGGCCCAGGACAGCCGCAGCGAGCTGGACCTTATGGAGGGAGACCACACAGTCATGTCCAACAGCTCCGTCATACATCTCAAACCGGTGGGTAAAGTAACACAGACACACCTGCTTAGTACTGCACCAATTTCACACATATAGATCAGTTTATATTAAGGTCTTCTGTGGGTCTGGTGGGAGCTTTGTTTAGTCTGAGTAAATTACTTTAGTGGCATCAATTTATGAGTCACCCTGCATTGCAAATTGGAGACGTCAAGTTCGGAAGACGGGCTATTTAGAGAGAGTTTTTATTCGGGTGCATTATGGGAAATCTAGGATCCAGTGGTTTTGGAGTTTGACCCACACTAGGGAATTTAAGTCAGGAAATCTTGGCCTCTGCTGCATCAATTTTTTAATCATTTAATTTATTTACTATTTTTTCAAAGTAATTGTTTATTCTTATGGCTTCTCCGAAAATGTGAAAAAATTCTGTAATGTTTCTTTCGCACTTTGAGTTACAAGGTACTTTCTGATTCTCTTCTGTTCCGTCTTGATCTCTTTCCCACTTTATCCAAAATCCTCTCATGCACCTCATTCTTAAATGTTTTGTATTTTATGTGTACTGTTGCAAAAATACTAAGTTTATTCCCCTGCCTTATGTCTCCAGGAAGAAGAGGAGAGTTTCTCTGGGGAGCCGGCAGCCACCAGTCAACCCTCTGAGCCGCAGCCAACACCTGCTCAGGCCCCAAGGAAGCACTACCGCAACAGAGAGCACTTTGCCACCATACGCACAGCGTCACTCGTGAGAACACATTCGCTTACTTCTGCATGCATCTCACTTACTTATCTCACTTGTATTTATATAATATAATTTATATAATATATATTATATAATGGCTGTGTAATAAAGAGTTCTACATTTAAAAAAGAAAACAATATGTTTCTAACATTTCTGTTATACCCACACATTTGAGTAAGAAGTCTTTATCCCTCCCTACAAACTCTCTCTCTATGTCTGAATCTAAACGGACTCTGCTGATTCTCCCCTGCGTCGACATCTTGCAGGTGACCCGTGAGATGCAGGAACACGAGCAGGACTCAGAGCTGCGGGAGCAGATGTCGGGATACAAGCGCATGAGGCGGCAACATCAGAAACACCTGATGGCGCTGGAGAACAAGCTGAAGGGGGAGATGGATGAGCACAGGCTGAGGCTGGACAAAGAGCTGGAGAGCCAGAGGAACAACTTCACCCAAGAAATGGAGAAGCTGCTCAAAAAACACCAGGCGGCCCTGGACAAAGACGTATGTAGACAAACAAAGAAAACTACATGTACAAAATACTAATTCAAAGGGAAAATACAGTGGCCTACTGATGCTTACTGTAATTAAATATTTAGCTATTCCATTTTTCAAAGAACGTTCCTACAACTGAAGGAAGTGCTTTTTTTTTTTATTGTCTCTCTCTTTTGTGTTTGGTTTAGCTGAAGACGTTTACCAACGATGAGAAGAAGTTCCAGCAGCACATCCAGGTGCAGCAGAAGAAGGAGCTCAGCAGTTTCCTGGAGTCACAGAAGCGGGAGTATAAACTACGCAAGGAGCAGCTCAAAGAGGTAATACACT